AAATCAAGGTTAGTCAAAACATCCAAGCTTCAGAAGACGTCAAAGAGTGAATATATCTGTGCCAGTGTGATTAATTTTTGGTCATGTCACTATGAGACCGGAATCACTGATTCCCATCGTCTCAGGGATACCAGCCAGCCAGTCTGTATCTCGCCTACACGACTAAGACCAACAGTCTGGTTCTATGTCTTGGCCTGGCCACCCTGAACCCTCTTTCAATGTAATCCAACGTACCCTAGCATAACATGTCGAGGTAAGTAGTGGGTTAGAATAAGCAACATATGTCCTGGCCACCTTAGTCGATGAAAATTCACAACCTCACCGATCTAATCGCCTTTCCTGCCTGGTACCTTTTGCCTGACCTGAACCTTGCTCACACGGTAATGCCACCAAAACAGAAAGATGCTACGAAGATACTTGTGATCAAAAACTTGTAACCACTTCATATCTTCTTCTTTCAACTGCCATATTTTACAGCCGAATAACAGGACAGAAAGAACTGTAGTGCGGAATCCTCGTCCTGTGATATATATTCGGACATCTCTTCAGCTGGCGCTGTAGATGACGCTAGCTGGTTAATACCAAGCGTGTCTTCTTTATCCGAGCTGAGATTTCGCCAGCAACCAGCCGGTTTGAGCTGATGCAACCCGCAAGTAAATAAATTGATCGACGTATTCCATTGTTTCACTCGTTATCCTTAATGTGACAGACGAGTAATGGAGCATCGTCTTACATAAGACAGGTGCAAAAAGCATGTCAAGCATACTCAGATTTCTGCTCAACATGTTCAAATAAGATGGTTTCTGAAGGTACAATTAAGTATAAAAATCGAAAGGTGAATCACGCAATGAGGGTCACATTTTGAAAGGATTAACGGTTAAGTAAAGCAAAAAGAGAAATTAAGAAAATGAAATAGACCAAATAATTTTATGGATTTAAGGTTCATGGTATTGTTTGTGACTATGTATTCGGTTTTCTATGAAGAAAAACATGTTTGCGTAATGGTTTGAAACGATTTCTACATTGTTCTTAAAATGATTTAATAAAATAATGAGTGTGCTTTTCATCAATCAAAGAGATAAAATCGAACGCGTTTCTGTGAGAAGAGCTTTTCTAAAGCTGCAAACTGAGGTATATAGTGAAAAAGGGATATGAACTATTGAAATATTTTACAGAAAGATGTAGGTAAATATGGATACTATGAATACTGATGTACAAGCTTAGCAAGTCAGAATACAATAATAATAATAATTGTAGTCCAAAAAGAGAGTAAAAACCCTTTCGTTTGCTTGCAAGCTCTTCAAAAATTTATTTCAAATCTCGAAATTTTACTAGAGAAATCTACTGATTAGTATAAATGATGTTAAGTTACTCTTATTTGATAAGACATTACACTAATCAGTACGATCAAAATAATTTGATGTTGTGCACTATTCAAAATGTGACTAATATATTAATGAATTAACCTCGCCTGGTCAACTAGTTCACTAGTTACTAGCCGGTCCTAACCCCAGAAAAAGAGGGAAGGTTGGGCATAGGGCTAGCAACCCTACACCGTAAAACAAATCTAACCGCTAAACAAACTTCAAAGTACAAACGAAATATAAAAAATAAAAACAGAATTATTCCCCGCTGGAATCGGAGAGGCGAAATGACGCCAGATGGTGAAAGCCTTCAGGAAGCGAATTTGCCGATGTGTCTCCTCTCGATGAAAGCGAAAGTAAACGTGGGGACATGGAATGTCCGCACGATGTTTGAACCCAGTAAGGCAGCCCAGATTGCAAAGGAGATGAGAAGGTATCACACTGAAGTGCTTGGAATCTGCGAAAGCAGATGGAATGGGAGTGGAGTCTCCAAACTATCAACTGGAGAATCAATAATCTACTCCTAGATTGTCACCCAGACGACAACCACGAGCACACTGAGGGAGTGACTATCATGATGTCCCCTTGAACAGCATGTCCCCAACAGCATCGAAGGCTCTCATGCAGTGGGAACCAATCTCCTCCTGCAGGATTGTGATAGCAAAGTTCAACTCAAAAGGAAGGAAAGTCACAATCGTACAATGCTACGCACCTACAAATAATGCAGATAAAGAGAAGAAGGAGGAATTCTACAGACAACTTCAATCAACACTGGACAAGCCCCAACCCGAGATGGAGACATCAAAATCCTGATGGGTGGGGTGACATGAATGCCAAACTGTAAGCGGACAACAGAGGAAGAGAACTAACCATGTATCGAGAAGCACTAGATGAAATGAATTGTTTGCAGAATTCTGTGCATTTAACGATTCGGTGATGGGAAGCGAAGCAGTGTGTTCAAGCACAAGGATATCCACAAAGCAACATGGATTTGATTTCACCTGACACCAAGACACACTACACTACAAATCAGATTGACTTGATCTCAATGTGAAAAAAGTGTAGATGTAGACGCAGCCTACTTGACACAAGATCAAGAAGAGGAGCAGATGTAGGTTCAGACCACCATCTAGTACAAGGAACCTTCCAAATCAAGTTGAAAGCCTTCAAGGAAGCTGGAGATAGACCACAGTTCAAGTTCAACACCTAGAACAGAAACTGAAGGACGAAACTAAAAAGGAAATCTTCACGGCAACCATCAAGACAAAATGGGAGATATCGAGGGACATCGCTGAAGAAACAAACCTGTGTGGAAGAACACTGAAAGTCTTTGAAAGAGATATGGAAAGGAACCTGCATAACCATGTGTATTATGAAGGAAGAAGAAAGAAGATAAGGAATGGATCTCGATGGATACATGGAAGCTGATGGAGGAGGGAGAGGAAGATGGTGATTGTGAAGCAGAAGATGAACCAGTGCAGTGCAGGGATGCACAACGACGAGAAGAGGAACTGTGTACAACATATAAAACACTACAGTGGACAAAGAAGTGAGGGAGGGAAGAGATCAACGCAGATGAAACCAATAAAAGATGATGAAGGAAATATAATTACCAAAGAAGAGAAACAATGGAAACGATGGGCCGACCACTTCAAGATGCTCTTGAATCGGCCACCATCTGCACTTCGTCCAGAAATAACACCTGCAGCCGCTGAATTACAAGTGAACATAAATCCTCCAACAAAAGTGGAAGTCCTGAACGCCATAAAGCTACTGAAATGTGGGAGAGCAGCAGGACCAGACGGGATCCCACCAGAAGCACTGAGAACAGACGCAGAGACAACAGCGGACATGCTCACACCACTACTGAAGAAGGTTTGAAAGGAGGGAAAGGTACCTGCCCACTGATTGGAAAAAGGGCTATCTTGTCAAACTCCCGAAGAAGAGCGACCTCAGTGTTTGTAAGAACTGGCGCGGAATCACGCTCCTATCCACCCACAGCAAGTAAAATATTAAACCGCATCATTTTGGAGAGACTAAAGGATGCACTGGATTCAAAACTGCTACCAGATTAGGCTGGATTCAAGAAGTATAGATCATGTGCAGACCAAATTGCAACGCCACGCTACGCATCATCATAGAACAGAGTATAGAATAGCAGTCAACTCAACTCAACCTCAACTTCATCTACTTTGAGAAGGTCTATGACAGCGTCGACTGAGAGGTAATTTGGAAACTGCTTCAATACTACAAAATACCACAAACCTTTATCAACCTCATTCAACAACTATATGAAGATGCCACATGCCAAGTAATTCACAATGGGAAGCTCAGTGATGCTTTTGAAGTGAAGACAGGAGTGAAACAAGGTTGCCTACTATCCCCCATGATATTCCTGATAGTGGTCGGCTGGATCATGCAACAAACAGTGAGGAGCGAAAAGAGGGGATACGCTGGCTGGACTGCGGAAAAGAACCTAGAAGACTTGGATTTCGCTGATGACTTGTGCCTAATGTCACATAAACTTGAAGATCTGCAGGCAAAAACTAACAAGTTGATAGAAGAGGCAGCGAAGACGGGACTTCAGGTGAATATAGAGAAGACAGAAGTGACGAAGATACCCAACCAACAACAACAAACTGCAATCACCATCAACGGGAGAAACTTAAGGGAAGTAGTCTCTTTCACCTATTTAAGCAGCACTGTTTCAACTACAGGTGGCACAGACGAGGATGTCAAAGTCAGAATCGGAAAGACAGTAAGACAGGCGTTCATTAGACTGAAACCAGTGTGGAGATCTACTGCACTCCACTCCGCATAAAGCCTGAACTAGATCTGGATTTTCAACACCAACGTCAAGTCAGTGCTTCTGTATGGTTCAGAGACTTGGCGCGTTATGAAAGGGATTTCCAATAAACTACAGACATTCATCAACAACTGCTTACGCTGGCTACTGAAGATCAGATTACCAGGATAATAAGAATAAGCAACAAGGAACTCTGGGAACGAACCAACGAAGCAAGAACCTATCACCCAACAAATATGCAGGAGGAAGTGGAGATAGATTGGGCATACACTGAGAAGGCCGACTGGGGACATCACACGTCAGGCCAGGCACTCGAGTGGAACCCTAATGGGAAGCGACGAGTTGGGCGTCCGAGGTGAGGGTGACATGGAGGAGATCGTGCGAGCAGGAAATGAGAGCATGTTGGCTGCCGTGGAGCCAGGTTCAAAAGATTTCGGAGAAGAGAGCTAATTGGAGACGTGCTACTGAATCCCTATGTTCCATTAGGAAACCAAGGGACTAATAATAACATTATTATTACTGAATTAACGCCGATCAGTGATACTAATAAGTGTATCCCACTGGGAAGTAATTCTGTCAAAATTGATAAATATATTGAATGGTACAGATGTGATGGCATTGAAGCAATCAAAAAAGCTAGTTATTATCATTGTTACCACCTTCTTACAGATAAAACTTTGAATCCTCAAGGTTTATGAAAAGCACATAAGCCTTTGAATGCACGAATAGACCTTCAAAAAAGGGCTGAAGTCAGATAGAAAACTATTCAAATAAAAGTTTGACTGTTAGCCTGCACAATCTTTCTCAATGCTATGAAAATGAAGACTTACCCAAATGGAAGAATGACATCAGTATATTATAAGGTTGTTCAGTGAATATGCAGCGTCCTCTAGATATGCTTGTATCACTGTTTTCATTACTCTGTTTCTGAAAGATAATCAAAAAAAGTTTAAAGTGTAGAAAATTTCTCAGTGACAATACACAACAGATCATGCAGTAAGTAAACAGTGGACTTGTTTACAGAGTTCAACAGATGGCCATTTATTTACATAAAACTAGGTGAAGAGTCTTTCAACTCACTAGGCTGAAACTCATACAGTTCATCTCAAAGGAGCTATTTGGCGTTTACACTTACTGAATCCAGTCAGCTAGGGTCACTGATTGGTAAATGACTTCCAATAGGTCCTATCAGTCATTTATTTACATCTACTACCTCTGATTTTCTTATACTTAACATTATCAGTGTTTTTGAATAGATTGCAAGTTGTATCTTTTTCACGGGACATTACAAGTCAGTTTCACCTATAAAAACCTAGACTGTGAAATGAAGCTGGATTGGAGAAATAATTCGCTTATTTTGTGATTGTTAGGTGGTTGATAAAATCAGTGGATCACTCCTTCAAAAGTATCATAAACGATCAGCTTACTGTCTTGGAGCCACTGGTAAGTCAAAGTAGAAATTACTATATATATTACTCCACCTATATGATTTCATTCACCTTAAATTCATAAACGGGGAATTGACTTTAAGATCAGATGTAAGTTGTTGTTATGACACGTGGAATATTCCGCTGTTTTTTTTTCATGCCCGAAATTCTGACACTGATCATTCTTGAATGTTACCATGTCATTTCCTTTTACTGATGGTCCGATAGTGACTATGGGGTCATATCTTGAAATTTTTATTAATGCACATCAGCATAGTCCATTTGATTTACATGCATGTCAGAATAGCCGTATTGTCTTAATTTAACCCGAAGAAAATCAGGTCTCACGTGTGGGAGAAACTAGAATTCAATAAATGAGTAGTGGTTCAAGCGTTGACACAGTGTTAGTCAATTAACAGTACTGACTATTACCATCCATTGTTATACGTTTAATAGTGAAGAGTTTTATGTTAGGTTAGTAAACTGGCCACTACTTCTAAGCTTGTAGAACTAACACGTTTATTGTAGATAAATTTAAGATGAGTGTTGACACTGCTGTGTTATCGACTACGTTTTTATCATTACTTTCGCGTTCCAGAACCCGTGATAGGTGGCCCGACGTAAGTGGCAGTGACTTTCGTCGTTGAAATTTAAGTGTATAGAACGAAAAACTAGGGCTCTAAAGTTACAAAAGAAGTATCATGGGAACGCTGTGTTCTCTGGATAGAAAGGTTCAATCTAACTGGAAACCATCTCATCACTATCAACTTCCAAAGGAAATGAACATTTAGGATTTGTCTACTAGTGGAAGTACAGCATATCCTGATGATCTTGAAAGTGAATTTTAATACACCTATTACTTACCTCAAGATTCAAAATATCTGCGTTGCTTCCATTGTTTTCAGATAATCTAAGGATATAGTTTTCATCAATACAAATTTGATTAGTTGTATGTATCAAATTTCCTTCTTTATTCATTGTTTCAGCTGATGCTTTTGATGGCGATAAATCTTGTAATGGTGATAAAATGGCCAATATCTGTTCAACATCTTCAGTATTTTCGTTGACCAAAATTGACTTTACGGTCTGTTTACCAATCTCAGTATCATGTAGTCTATGATTTATCCAGTAAGCAGTATTATCTGTAAAGTTGATATAATCTTCAAGCTGTAATGATGAGTTCAAAGCAGACACTGGCATTTGCAAACTGACTTCAGAGTCGTTTAGATAGATGCTTGATGAATTGGTTATGTTTGAATAATCCGATCTTTCACTATCCCAACTTGGAGGAGGTGTAGATAAACTGTTTTTGAAATCAGTTTCTATATTGTCTGAAACATCACTACGAGTCATTGTATTTGCATCATGCTCGAATAATAAAGACTTCGTTTTATCATCTGAAAGAATACCACTCTCACTACAATCATTTTCATGCAACTTATCAACAGTAGATTGATCAAAGGTAGACATTTCAGCGGCATTAACCATAAATAAATTGACAGAGTTCTTCAGACTACTGGACTTTTTATCGCAGAGAGTAACGGCTGGAATTTCAGGTGGAGACTGTTCGCTTTCTTGACTGTTTTTATTCTTCACACTTAATTGATTGTTAGATCTGTCGGTTATGATGTCCTTTCTGTAGAGAAGTGATAGGTGGTCAGCAGTACCTTTACTTTCTACTCGACTGACATTTGAAATAGGATAATGTGTTTCATGTCCAACCAATGTGTGTAAAACGTCAGATTGTTCCAATAAATTGATAGGAGATGAAAAGTTCTTTACGTAAGAATCACTTTCAAAAACACCCTCTTTTCTTGATGAAACGTCAACCAGAGAAGCCTGACACTGGGCAGTAGGTATTGTTACTACAGAAATGATGGAAAGCGAATTATCCGAAGGAGTGTTGATATTAACATCAGACGAATTCCCAGCGTCTTGTTGTGATTCGTGAAAAACCCTTGAAGTTTTGCACGAAACGGGTACAATATTACTGACATTTTGTTTCTTAACGGTCTCCTCAAAATTTTCTACAGTCTTATTGGTCAACAGAGGGAGGTGTTCGTCATCGTCATCACAAATTTGCTTTTCTAAGGTACATTCAGGCGACGTATAGTCATTTGATTTTGTAAAAGAAGAGTTTAACGTAATCACCTTAGATGAATGCAAAGTGTCCATTTGTTCAGGAATCAGGCTGATAGGAAGATATTGTAGTTCTTTCTTGGCAATAGTATTGTCTTTACGATAAATATTACTAACCTCAGGAAAATCCTCATTTTGACTTTTATCTCCTGTAGAAAGTTGACTGAGTGAGCTTTTTCTGGCTTTGATTGAATTTTCTGTGGTTGTCATGTACTCATCTTTTTGGTCTACTGAACAACCTTTTATGAGGTTTACTTTCTTAACTTGAACACCAACAGCCAGTTCTCGACAACTATTCACTGTCTCACTGGATATTTTATTAGAATGAGTATTATTTTCAGATGAGTCAGTAGTTGCGTCATGACTTTCAGTTGATAATTCCGCTACTGTTTGCACTAAGCTTTGTTCATTAAATGAGTTAGTATCTCTTAGTGTTTTGATAGCAAGCGTATCTGAAGTCGACTGAAACTGCTTACTTTTGTCATCACAGGTTTCCATATCCCAGAGTCCAGTTATACTTGAACATGATTCTAGATTGGAGGGTTGGTTAGTAGTAACAAGCATTCCAGCTGATTCATTAGAAACGTTTTGTAATTCCCTATCTTTGGCTGGACCACATTTATCTGGGCCAGAATTTGCCAAAAAACTATCTTCTTTTTGATACACTCCTAGTGTATGTAGCGAGTTAAATGAAATTTTTATCTCAGATGTCAAAATTGTCGAGTAATCATCTGTTTCTTTTGGTAAAACACCTTCAATAACGAGTAGCTGGTCGATGACTGGATCAATAGTTTGGTTCTCATTATCATTTAACGTCTTCGTAGACATTTCACTGACATCAAGGTTGTTTCTGAATGCATCAATAATATTGTTATCAAGCTGCATTGACGATCTTATTACTGAGTCGATGTTATCTTTTAAACTCAGAGCATCAGGATTCTTAACTCTACGAAACTGATCAGATGAACGATCTGTGATACTAACGACAACTGGGATAGTATTTAAATGTCCACTTATTTCTTCTGCTGAACTACTTTCGGTAACCTTGACTTCACATATATTGGATTCCACAGAGTCAACAGAATGTTCCTCAGCGTTGCTTAGTTTTTCGCTGGACACTTTGAGTAAGTGAGTGTTATCAATAACATTGTTGTCGGACACAATCAGTGGTGGGGAACTAGATCTATGTTCTGATCCAGCTGCTAATTTGATAAAATTTTGTCTATTAAACTTAATATTATTTTCGCCAGAATCTAAGTACAAATGAATGTCATTCTTTGATTTGCCTGAAGGTACATCACTGGAATGATGAGAGTTGTCATTTTCCTGAAAATTTAGCAGGTTTACATCAACGTGCAGTATCTTACTACTATTTGGGAGATGTAACTCACTGACTTCAAAAGAGGTGAGATTTTGTCCTAATTCAGCATTTGGTTTTGCTCCATTACTGTCTTTTTTCTGTGTTATTTCCGATGAAGTTATGGGATCTAAAGAAGTTTTTACAAAGCTACCATCAGTACTTGTAGACATGATGCTTTGTTTAAACTGTAGAGTATTCTCACTTGATGCCTTTCTCTGGATAGAACTCAACTCGTACATATGTCCGGTATCTGAACTCAGAAGTTTTGGACTTGATTTCTGAAGCATTTCATGTGTAGGTAGAACTTCTGATTTAGGTTCAGGGTAGGGTGGTGTTACTTTATGCACCTTAACCTCTGTTGGTTTACTGTTCAGTTCAGTTCTTTCGTCAAGAATGTCTCTGTTAATAAAGGGCGAAACTGATAAATTTTGTTCGAATGTCGAAATATTACTTAATGCATAAGTTACATCTTGACTAGGAATTTCGTTGAAAGGTTTTGGATTATCGTAAACTCTTTGCGAAAGATCCAAATTCGAAAGAGAAGTTTCTGGGAAGAAAGTATAATTACTTTCCAAAATTTGAGAGGTAGATGATTTATCATCATCCTCTCTGAAAGAGCATGAAACAGGCTTTAAATTTGGTAAAGGTAATTGACTAATAGGATTGTGTAAATCATTTTCTTGAGCTTTAGCGTGTAATTCTAACTCACTCTCTGGATGAATAAGAAGTTTGTTATCTTCATGTTCTACAGTTACTTCAGGGTTGAAATTTTCTTTTTTACTGGAGTTAGTCACTGAATCATCTTGTTCACTGGTTTCCTTACCTGATATAATTTTATTTGTGGATGTTAGTTCACCTTCAATCATTGAATAGGCTGCACTGTGACTTGTCGGCTTTATCAGTATCAACTCTGTATGCTGTTGACTTTTCAATGAACACGGGAATAAATTTACTACTTCCAAGTCAACTGGTTTTATTGGTGATGTAACTGATTTCTGTAGTTGTATTTCATTTGTTTGAAGTGAATTGCACTGATTGTCAATAAAATCCAATACTGGACTTTCTGAACCTGAGACAATATATTGTGTAGAATTATTCACATCGTCGCCTGGATTTTGACTTAAACTCCATAGACCTGAGTCAGAAAAATCTCCTGAAGGTATAGGTGTAGCTTGAAAACTTTCATTTCCATTTTCTCTAACTTGATGTCCAATGGTTATATTATTGTGATTTATTTCCAAGTTTAAATGTTGTTCCGCTTGTGTATGTATGCTTAGAACACTGGTATAGTATGAACATGATGGTTGTTGAAGCGTATCAACGTACTGATCTTCAGGAGGTTTTAAGGACTTTGAAGTACCGACTGAAGCATCAGCTAAGCTCTGGCCAACATTTGATAGAGTTTTGACAGCTTTGGCAAGCTCAAGTTTCGAATGATTTCCAAACGCTTCTTTTGCAATATGAACATCTTTCTTTCTTCGAAATTTGAAAAGTTTAATCAATTTTCTTGTTGGTGTATTGTGGTTAATAGATTCATTGGAGAGATAATGCCTTCTAGAAGATCGTTTAACCTTTTTCTGATGTTTTACTGATAGATTTGGTGCAGCGTTGTTACTGTACTCTGATCCATCACTGATATTTACTGATCTACCTAGTCCAAATATATTCCTAGATGGTTTAGCATCAGCTAAAAATTCACAGGACCGAATTTTTAACTTTTTCCGTGGAATACACATTTGCCTTGTTTGAGAAACGAAGTCAGTTTTAACACTTGTATCTTGTTCCAATGAATTTTCATAGTGTGATGTATCAATTTGGCATTTACCTTTAGTGCACTTATCAAAATTGTGGGGTATACTTCCAAAGGAAGTTGAAAAACATGGATTTAATCCACAGATTGTTTTGTAATGTCGATGTTTTTTTGAAAAACATCTTGGACTCAAGCTTTTATTGCGATTATTGTAATAATTATTCACGTGTAAATGTAAATATGGCGAACCATCACGTGAATGCGTGGGCGAATGTTCGAATTCAGCCACTGATTGGCTTAAACGTTGTTCAATAGGATTTGTTGGAATATGATATTCTACTGAGTAAGACAAACAACCAGTCGTATTGGTTGGTATTAAGGTACTTAGATCATGCCAACTGGATTGGATTGAGTCAGTTTGACTTGAACTACTAGTTATTCGTACAGCTAATGGTTGTCCTCTGAGGTCGGTTACAGACATCCATCCACCAGTATAGTATTCAGTTGGTGTAAAAAGGTATTTCGGATAGTTCTTTTGGTCTTCTGGAGCATAGCGTCCTAAAATTCAGGAAAACAAAATAGTAGCAAACTTTATATATATATATATATATATACATGTACTCCTGTTACTATACTCTGCTAAAATAAGGTGGTTGAGTTGACCACTAGGATACAGTATTGCTACAAATAACTAAACAAGAAGCGGAAAATAAAATTTCATGTCAAAGACACATACGGAGATTGTCTTCTTGTCCTTTATTTCCCTGTAACTCATTTGCATAAGGATATTACTTGAGTAAATCATCTTTACATAGAACCCATACTATTGAACATGTATGGTATATTGACCTAGCTGACCGAAGGCATAGGGTGGGGACAGGTATTTTACAGATAGGACCGCTATCTAGCAAATAATATTGTTTCACTATGTGACATTCTTTGTAAACAGATCAAAATGCGACTACCACAATGCCCAAGCTCTACTCTTATATTAGACAATATCTCAGCCATCAAAATATATTACTAAACAACATGAGTAGTTGGGAGCCACACACTCTGATCTGTAAATTTTACTTGCTGGATTAGATCTAAGTACCAAACGACGATTTCACTCGTTTTGGACAGGGTTCATCAGCCGCGTACCTGCATAAAATTAGCCCACAGAGCCAAACTATTTAAGACAACTAAGTCTGGCTAGCAGCCTTGGACTGGTTTACGTAAATCGGGATGGTCAATTTGTAAATGATTTACAAAGCGCATGGTCCCCGTTGACATTCCCCACAGTTGAGTAGTTTTACAACTGCGGAACTCTAGTATTAGTAGGATTTCCGTTAAAAACCACCCAGACAAGATCACAAGATGTGATGTCTTTGCAACAACACCAAAATTCTCCAGATCATCTTTAACGATATAAAAATATAAATATAAAATATGAAAAGATATAAAATTCCAAGAAAACTATTCAATTTATGGAATCATTAACTGTTCACACGAGTTTAATAGATGATTTCAAACACAGTTATAGTATTTATACTGGGTGATGATTGATGGTGAAATGAAAATCTGGACCACGGCTGGATTCGAACCAGCAACCATCGGGTATATAGTTATAATTGTAAAGCTTCGGCGGTATGTTAAAATGCAATTCCGTTTTAGATTTATTTATTTCATATAACACAGCGATAAAGTGTTATTTAGTGGAGAAAGTTTTATTCATTGCTAGCTGGTCATATAGAACACGTGTTGTCCTCCTATGTCTCTAACTTTGAGTGAAAGGCGTTAGCTGAACAAGACGACAGAGTAGTCTGTTGAACAAGAAACTCACACTTCGGTAGATAGTTGTGCATCCTCAGAACTCCGTAAAGTAACACAGTGAGGTAAATTTCAAACAAGATTTTGTACCTTTTAACCGCAAGCTAGTCTGCTAGTGCTGACTAAAAACGTACAAGCAAAAGCCAGCTGGCCGATGCATTCGATTACTTTACACTATGCTTTTAGTTTGCATACTGAAATAAATCTGACGTGAAACGATATTATATCAGGAAAATAATAGCATACTAAAAGATTTAATCTTTTTCTAGATAAACCGTTGAAATAATCATTCATCTGATTAACAATTACTTTTACTCAGTCAATAGATCTCTGGATAGACGACTGATACCTAAGAAATTGGGGGCAATAAGAGTCAACTCAATCAAACTAGTTTATGATGAAGTCGATTAGAAATAATAAAGTGAACACTAGGCAGTTTTTTCATATTTATTGCATGATCACATAACGAGTCTTCACAAGTACTCAAATGACCAGATCAGTCGGGATAGAATTTCATAAATAAAATCCAGGTATTAAAACTTGATCAATAAAATCTGATCAATACGAAACACTAACCGCTAGGCAGGGTTATCAACAGATGAACAACTCGTATACATGTTTCAGTCATGCAAGAGGTCGGCCGTAGCTTGAGTAGCTTGATGGTTAAGTCTCTGACTTCAGCAGTGAGTGACGCAGATTCAAATCATTGAGTTAACACCAGGTTCTTGGTGGTTGCAGATGCACTTTCCTGACAATTTCCAATGAGCACGAAACCTAGGTTGAGCACGGCTTCCTGCCGATTGATGCCCACCATCTAATGTACCATACTTTTGGTATTCACTCAACAAAACTTCTTGACGAATAGGTTCAGATGTCATCTTTATTTCAAGAAATATTATCATTGTCACACCATTAAGTAAAGGGTATTCATGAACTTTGTGCGTAGCAGGAAAATAATAATAATTGACAAAGACTTTGTACATTTCCTTCAACTCTGAGCCGCTAGTCAGGAAGCAGGGTGCATAATAGTATTAGTGCAAGCTAGCTTTTGGCCAAGTATATATTTTAACTCACAAACATTATAAATCCCCAATTTCTTAATTAATATGACATCCAAATTACCCAGTCATGTATAAGCCACCTTCAAAAAACTTTCCTGTGTCATAGCAACTGAAATAATTAGATTTTGCTATTTTATGAAAATCTACCTTTCCACCAGAAATAAAGAAACCTGATTGGCTATTTTTGTCGTTGTTAGAGTGGCCTTTAAAATCACTCGCAAAGTAAATGCAATAGTGTTAAAATGAGGAGCAGGTCTCATGACTAAATTAGCTTCAACAGTTCCGAATGTATATAATCGGTCAATAATATTTTTAATCAACAGAGGTCGATATAAGTGACCATCATAAAACATTTTTTTTAAAGAATACCTTTTATGCTTTATTTTCATTTGTCTAATTCCATGTCGGCTGATAGAACTGATTTTGGAATCAGTGAGTGCATACATATAAACATTAAAACTTTCACTTCTCGTTAAATGAAGTCGGTAATTTGAATGGATCAGATCTATTAATATGGTTATAAATGATGTTTAATGAGTAAACATGTACCGACTTTACCAGTCAGTAAATTGTATCCCTACGTGTAAATGATAGATAGGTATACAGAAGCTTGAACGAATCATGAATTTGCATCGATTCAATTTGCAACAATTCCCACAAACATGAAAACAAACAAATAATAATGTTAAGAAGATATAAACTCAAAAGAAATATGTTCCACGTAAACCCTGTATGCAACCTTTGTCATCCAAGTCAACAAACCAGATACAATTAGTCGGAACACTTTGACTCTGTGAGCTGAATTTGTCTAGACATATCACTTGTGAGCTCAGTCTCAAAAGAGTGAAATGTTTGTTTGGTATTTATATCACTCTGATTAGGCTAGCGAAATCTATAAACCAGGTTGAGGGGTTTCAAACCATTTATGTTGTTCACTGGTGTATTTCGATAGAAACTGTATCAATTTATGTGACTTTGAGGAATGCGAAATAGGTTGTTTAACTTATAATTCCTAGAATCTCTTGTAGATCCCAAGCAGGTTGACATTCAGTGGGGAACTTCATGAACTGGAGCCATATTTAATAATAATACATAGTGTTATATAGTTGGAGGCAGTCAGTAAGGAGCTCTGGCACTCATTAGCAAACATCATCTGCAACCTTGAGGAGACTGATTTCTCCTATGAGACTTGAATCTGTGTCACTCTATGCTGCAGTTAAAGAAGGTTTTAATGATTTATTCATAAACTGGCCTTCTTTATGTGGTGTCATACAGTGTGCATTTTTAAATCTGTTTTTATTAAAGAAGCTTCATTTATTAAAGCTCATCAACTGACTAACGTACTGACATTTTTAGGTGATAAAAAGGTAGGTGATTGTCATGGGAAGCCGCATGCAGTCAGTCAGTCTATAAACAGATTTGCGCTAATTATTCCATCGAGACATGTTACTGATGAAGTTCCTGTAGAATTTCAATTGGTTCTTTTCAAGTACTAACTTGAAAATAACTTACTTTCAGGGGAGATACGTTGAATGAATCTGAAATCGAAATTCTTCAGTATTTCGTGACATCATTTGATAAACTATAAGAAAAATGAGCATGCCTCGCATTTTAGCGGTACAGTATCCACTGTGGTCAAATAATTCAAGAAAAATAGACAACTTGATTGTGAAGTTATGAATGACTCAAACCCATTTCATAATATTTGGTTGGATATTTTATTTCAAAGTTAGATAAAGTGTTTGCTCTCTGCTTACCCAAATGATCTTTAAGAACAGATGGATAACAATAAAAAATCCGCTACACATATCAGCTTAAGTTGTCAAATACCACAGTAAACAAGCAAAGAAGCTTGGAATGAAAGGGAATAAGTGGATATTAACTAAATGGTTAACATTTTGAGCAGGGTACAGAATGAAACCATCATTGATAATGATGCGCGTTAGCTAATACCTCTAGCACTTGTGTCACAACCTACCTCACGAGTCTGCCATGATGCCTAGTCTTCCTCTACGTTCTAACTCAGTAATCCAAAACTGAATAGACTGGTTTATTTTCCTAATTTTGTCACCGTTACCTTTTCCTTGTTTAGTTTTGCCTACTCCAGCTAGCATCACTTCAGCATGCATAAAATATGGTCCAGTGGCCCAAGTTTGTTCACAGCCTTATAAAGTACTTTCTTTGCGTGCTTGGAAAGCTGTGCTCAAATATGTCATAGTTCACTTGGTGATTTCGGGACACAATCATAAACCATAAAATATTCAATTGTTCAATGTTTAATCTATTCAATGATCAAAGACTTACATAGATTTCAATCAGCAAATCATGAAATCATGCGGCAGCGAGTTTCAAAACCTATCAAGGCTACTGAACGTTTCTACATATCAGTCTGCTAAATCATGTATCATTTCTTGGTTGAGGAGATAGTCACAGTACTCATAATTTTGACTTTACTTCCAGCCATGAAGCCCTGTTGACTATTAAGTAGCTTTTGCTTATTTTTGCTAGACTAATTTTAATTTATCTGATTATTCGATACGGATCATGTCATCTTATACACTATTTATTTCTCGAAAATACATGGAATATTTTTTTAATCACATTTTCATTTACAAGTGAATAGCTCTTCGTTATGCTTCCAAGATTTTGTTCCTTACATAATGTTCGCAAATGACGTAATCATAT